CATAGTTTCTAAACAAAAGTAATAGGCAGTAATAATATTCTATAGATACCCAGAACAGTGGCATTCTTTAATAACGTCATAGTCAAAAGCATATTGCAATTTAGTCTCCGTCTTAGCAGTCTTGCAAAAGATCTTCAAGTTACCAGCATCCACCAAGACCATCTCCAAGATTACTATATCCTTTCATCTTCCATCTAGTAGCACGAAGAAATGTAAGGGCCACCTGAAGCAAGCTGAATGATGCCTATTCTATTCAACTTACGAAAAGTTAGGAAAACTAAGATTACAACCAAAATCAGAAGTAGGTTGAATATAAAGTCAAAACATAAAATAGTTCTTAAAAGAAATCTTATGAAATCTTATTTAACTTATCTAATAGTTAAATGATGCTCCTGATGACCCCTCTTGCTAAAGCATCTGGTTCCCTAGAATAAGTAACCACAGAGAGTGTACTTTGTGACCCATCATATAGATACTATCTCAAGGTTTAATTTGAACTTTTCTGTTGACTGATTTAAAACCTGAAAGGGGTATCATCAGCCAAACAAAATGGCCCTGAAAAAAATGTTACCCTTACTTGAGTATACTAAATCTATACTTGCATATAGGCAGGCATACTGACACTTCTCAGGCTGCAGAAGCATCCAGCCAACCCATGACTACAACTGAGAGCCTTCTTAAGTAGAAGGCCATCATTACAAATGACTTAAACAGGAAGAGGAAGAAAAAGACAGCATTTGTTTGTAAGTCTGTGTCTTTCCACTACTTCAGGAAAGAGCTAACCATTGAGACAGAGTGAGAGAACTCTCACTGTCTCCCTGAAAATCACTGGCCTGTATCCAGTGCTGTACAAGAAACAAATATGAAATACAGTAAGTCAAAGGGAAAGAGCAAGCTTTCATATAACACAGCACCGCAAGACATGTCCTTATGGTGCCAATTAAGCTACTGAAGTGTCCTGCTCCTGATTTAGAAGTTAGAAAGCATGCTGCGGTAGAGACTCTACATACAGCTATCTCCATTAACTTCAGGATCTAAGCATGTGTTGGATTCCTCATGAGTTCTTTCAAATAAGGACTCAGATTTCTTCTGTTAAAGATAGGATCATATCTTCTTCTAGTACTAAAAGACAGTTGCTCAAAGCATAAGAAATAAATGTATGATAGCAGTGTATGAAGTTTATAGCGCACCCTTGTCTTCAATGGCCATTTGTGATACCAACAAATGCAAAAGTGAAATGGAACTACAGTGAATAAAGTGACGGGAAGAGGGGAAGATGACAGTGGTAGAAATAGGAACACACCTGTAAGCTATGCTGCCTCCAGGGATAAGCCTCCATTCAGTTTCTGAATGCACAGGATGGACTATCAGGCAAAAGCTATATAGCTGTGACTGGATGCCAAGAGTTGGTAGTGACTGAAGGTCATCACTGATAAAACTGATACATTGTCTCTTTCTCTCCCATGAAGATAGAGCTCTTAAACAAGCACCACAAGGTTTTTAGATTTTTGTTTAAAGATCTAGAACTGGATTACTCCAGTTGAATCTTGAACTGACCAGTTCTGTTCCTGTGAATGGCACCAGGTTTTCTGCAGATCCATCTCTGCAGAAATACGTGTGTCTCAAAACTATTGCTGCAATCACAGAATGGTTTGGACTGGAAAGGACCTTAAGATTATCTAGTTCCAAACCCCCTGCCATGGGCAGGGACACCTCACACTAGACCATGTTGCCCAAGACTCCATTCAACCCAGCCTTGAACACTGCCAGAGATGGAGCATTCACAGCTTCCTTGGCCAATCTGTTCCAGTGTCTCAGCACCCTCACTGTAAAGAACTTCTTTCTTACATAAAACCTGAACCTCCCCTGTTTTAAGTTTAAGCCCATTACCCCTTGTCCTATTGCTACAGTCCCCAATTTAGTTAACTGCTAGGCACACAGCCTCAGGGGGTGAGGAGGGAGAGGGAAATCACAACAGGAACAAGTCAGATACCCAGTTTTCTATAAAGTCAAGGAGGGATATGCAGTACCTTTCATTTGTAATAGTCACAGCTGATAGGAGAGTTCTGTTTAGCCACAAGGTAGTTATCCCTTTGAAATTACTGTAACTAAGTTCTTACCCAGTCTCCTGGTTTCAGCCGGGACAGAGTTAATTTTCTTCCTAGTAGCTGGTGCAGTGCTGTGTTTTGGCTTTAGCCTGAGAACAATGCTGATAACACACTGATGGTTTTAGTTGTTGCTAAATAGCACTGGACCAAGGCTAAGCAGCCCTTACCAAGGACTTTTGCTCTGTCAGTGAAGAGGGGCACAAGAAGCCAGGAGGGAGTAGAGACAGGACACCTGCCCCAAACTAGGGTACAAGTTATTTTCGTCTATTTCCTGCAATATTTAACATTTACATTTCTGTGTCCACCTTTGTAATTCTCTAACATTTTAAGTAGAAAACTTGCAGTTGCAGATACAGAATCAGAACTCACAAGATTAGTGAAAAGCAGGTTTTACCAAACCCAAAACTGCAAAACAATGTGTTTAAGTTATGCACAGGACTTGTGATATGTAAAATCTAGCAGCTCTACTGCTAAAACCAGCTTTCTCGCTTAATGGAAGGACAAGACCTGCTTCAACCTTTAAGAACAGCTGTTCTTAGAAGAACACAGTGACCTTGTTGAGAAAGAATTCATGACTGATGGGGTTCTTCACTTGATGGGACTGTCAAATGTTTCCAGCTAGAAAACTAAAGCCAGATGAGCATCAGATCTATTGATACTGTTCTAAATACCTCCAAAGAATCAGATGTAGAACATACAAGCAAGCCAGTACAGAGCCAGACTCCTCAAAGCACAGCCACTGGACTACAGAACCACTGGCTAGGGCAGTATTATCCTTTACTGAAACTGATGCACAGAGGATAAACACACAACTTCTGGACACATTTTTGATGGAAACTCTTAATTAGTTCTTTGTGCTTAGACAGAATTTTACCACCCCCAAAATACTTCAAAGTAGAGAGAACTGTGCTCCAGTATAAATTAGTAAGGCAACTAAGGCTGAAGGTAAACTTTCTGACAATCGCAGTCTAAGAGAAAACTACTGAGGTGAAGCTTCACTTTCAGATAAAATTCCCAGCTGCACAGTTCCAAAATGGATGGTGTTAAAACAAGTCATAACTCAGTCCTGGATCTATGAATACAGTGTCAATACCCATGGAAGCTAAGAAAACAACAGTTTCAGGTCTTCATCTGAGTCACAGCAGATGATGTGGATCTGCTATGTTTTGGAGACAGAAGGGTGAGACAGGCCTGCCCAAGAGGACTCTGGTGCAAGAACCAAGCCTACGATGATAGAAGACCTAGTCCTGAGATGGAGTTGCACAAAGTTCCGGTATCTCCTACATAAACATTGCTATTAGCATTACTGGTTCCAGCCACTATGGGTATATGCACACATACCTAGCATATGACCATGCATGTCAGGTAACACTAAAAGAAAAAAGTGAGACCTTTGAAGATTGATAACATTCATCAAAAATCCAATCACTGGTAAATGTATAAATCTCACTTTCCAGAAAGCCTTCCAATAGTTTTTCTTTCCAAAAGTTCCAACTTCCAATACCTTAAACTGATCAGGTAAATAAGTGTGACTTCAATGACTACCTTGCATCATTGCATTTCTGTACCTAATTTTGTTTGTTACAGAATATAGAGCTGCTGTATCTTATATTGTCTTACAGTAAAAAGACTATCTCCACCTGCTGCAGGGGAACCACTAGGTCCTGAAATACATAAAAAGAGGTCAATCTTTTTTTCTTCAGCATGAATATCACAAAGAAAACTGACCTGTTGTGAAACTCTACTTCTGTACTTTTAACTTATCAAAACCAACAATATCCACCAAAAAAAGTTACATATATCTGCACTATGTAAAATTAAGTGATTCTAAAGCCAGCACTTTGAAATCACACCACAACAGACATGTAATTACACGATATTTTCATTAGACTATACTGCTGTCCAAGTCATTTTCAGCCATTTCCTGCAATATTCAATTGATCAAAACTTACATTTGCAGATACAGAAGTGGAACTCACGAGTGCACAAAGTTGTATCTGCTGTTAGTGAGAGCAACAGAAAAAGTGCTCTATACAAGTCAGATTCACAGTTACATATTAAAATAACTGAAGTTGAAATAGGTGCTCTAAAAATGTAATTTTGAAATCTTAATTTAGTTAATACTGAATATAGTTTGCATCCTTCTATCTTAATCTTACACTGCACAAACTACAGTATTTTTACTCATCTCAGTACCAAAATTAAGAATCCTCAACTTAAAAGTTCTATTCATTTAGAAACTTAAGTTAATGCTTGAACAGATGTTATTTAAAAAAAAAAAAAACAAACCCACCCACATATTGCAAGCCCTGGAATTTGTTTTACTACAAAAACAAACAAACAAAAAACCCACAGCCCACCCTCAATGCTCTCTCTCTAGAAGTAATTTCATGCCCTCAGTCACAAAGTTACCTGTAACGAACCTATACTATACATGCAAACCTGCAATTTCATGCACAACTGTTCTACTTCGAACAAAATTGATCCAAATACATTAACAAAATTTGCTCTCCTGAGAGTCCTCCTTCAGCTCCAATAAAAGAAACTGAATTTACACAGGGAATGGTTAAAAAAAATAATAGTAAAACAACACTTTACTTGGAAAAACCCACAGTAAAAATTCAGTTCTATAGTTTCTTTTTCTTACGTAAGAGGGATGGATTGTAAGTTTCACGAAGGCAAAGAAATTAAAACTTGGCATGAAAAATACCATCACTCCCAATGAATTCAACTATATCCAACTGAAAAGTGTTACAGATTTTTTTAAATTTTTTTTTTCTCGGTTGCAAAACTGAACTTGCTTTCTTTGATTCCAAGCTTCTTCAAGAGATTTTTGGTTTATACAAACCAAATAATATGTGCTGTCCTCAAAATAGCATCAGGAGCACTTACTCGTCATACTTGATATGATAAATAGCTTCTTCACCAGCGTCCATACAGTCTGAATAAGATGTGGATGGCGTACTGTCCAAATTATTTGCATTTTCTCTAGAATGATCTTGACTTAAGTTTCCATTAGTCCTTTTGTAAGTGTTACCTCTCTTTCCTTGAGCTTTACCATTCTTATGTCCCTTTGTTGCTCTAGTAACGTTTTCTATATGAGCTTCAAACCAGGCTCCAATGCTGACATCACGGGCATCCACCAATTCGTTTATCTAAGAAGGAAAATTCAATAATGAATATATGCTTATTGTATTTTTTCTTAATCAGGATTACATAATATAACTTATTACGCTACTGCTTAACTTTGTTATCAGTAAAACTCTAGTAACTAGCTGAGCTTGATCAAGTTCAAGTAACATGCAGTCACGAATATGCTGCACTTTCACTATTTTATTATTTCTTCCCTTATTAAAATCTACTATGGATATAACCTGTATGCAATTTTAAAAAGCAAGTCTAGATTTCTCCTCTTTTTTTTCCTTATGTTTTTTTTTTCCTTTTCCTCCAAACCTTAAAGTTTGCCTCATCTCTCTCATTATCCTTTCCTTTTGATTCACCAATTATTATTTATGGCCAAAATAAGCATACACAGCATTAAAACACTAGCTCACAGTCAAGGAGTTTAAAGACTTTCCTGAACCTCCAACCTGGAATTACTATTTAGCTTTCTATCTTTCTGGCCTGCAAGATTTTAACCATTCAAGACTTGAGGAGAGAAGGCGAGGAAACAATTCTAACAGGGTTGCCATCACAACTAGCCAAGAATCTTAAGATTTAAAAAATCTTAAGAACTGGAACTACCTCCCAGAATTTCTTCCTTCTGTACTAACGATAATGGTATTAAGCAACCAACCACTTTACTATTCTAAATCATGTTTCCTTTTCTCAAGTCTTCAGCTAATTAAGCAGATGTTCCTGTAATAATAGAGAAAAAAAAGTAAGTTTTAAAGAATACTTCATCAACAGTACACCAAGTATAAAAATATTGTTACAACAGAACTACTCCGCAGCCATACCATAGAAAACATCTATAATAAACAGTAAAAAATACATATATTTATCTATACATGTGGTTTAAGCTACAGCCTTTGTCAAGTATCAGCATAGTGGCAAATATTTAGTCTTACTAACCCCAAAGGCTAGTTTCTGTAAAGGAATAATCTTATTGTATTTTCACAGGAGAAAGCCAAAAAAGCATGCTCAAGAACTTTTAGTATTAGAGTGAGAAGTCCTTAGGTATCTGAAAGTGCAACTGATGGAAGTTTGAGCTAACAAGTTTATCCCAACAAGCACTATTTTATTCTTCACCTTCTTAAAGTGACCTCCAAAATGGAATCATTGATTTTTCCTCCCATGTAAAATACCAACATATGTATTTTTTATTTTTATTTTTATTCTTACAAACCTGCAGTGCTTGAAGTACAGCTTTTTACCAGGATGAAAATTACAGCCAGATAATAAATCTGAGAAGGAGCCTCATTTTAATTCTATCAATCTGTTTCAAACATAGACAGTGGATTCTGGCACTTCCAGAAGGAACTCTCATGAAGGCATCCCTTCACAACCATATGCGTTTGAATTACTTGCAGCTCAAAGTTCTTCTTTACTTCATCTTATCAAAAGAGTTGAGCAAGACACACACTAGTAAGGATTCTCTCATCTGCTGCTACTTCCTGATACCAGTTATGAAAGTGCCAGAGAAGCAGCACTAGCCAAGTCAAAAATCATCATCAGATTCAGAAGCCAAAAAAAATTAAAATAACATCAGCACAAACTCCCTTAATCACTGATCTCCAATGTATCCTTCCATAATTTGATGTGCATACTTAAACAAAACCCACCCCTGCAAAGAGTAACGGCAAATAATTATTATCACAGACCACCTGGGAACATCATACACCTATTTCGTGTTAGTGGTATCTGGTTTAAGAGCTGGGTTATTAGTAGCTCTATGTGAACAATATTGAACAAATACTGACTTTAATTCCAGATTCAGTTTGTGTGTTTTTTATTCCAAGCTAGTTAAGAGTTCTCAGCTAAAGTGTCTTTACTACATCCAGAGATTTTTGGATGCAAACTTATAAAGACTACATTATTAGTAGTGTGAGCATCACAACGGGAAACATGCACATGCTTCTGGATGCGCTTTGGTTTTTCTAACATCATCACTGCACACCCAACCACTGTTACTGTAACTCCTCTCTTGCAACCTGTTTTTTATTCCTCCTTTTAGCACTGGCAATCCACCATGGGTACCCTGCTTAACCAAGGCAGTGCTCTTCACACATGCTGAGTCCATCTTGGGATGGACCTGAAGTTCTTAAACCAGACACCACTAACAAGGAACAGGAGTTGAACATAATTCCACCCACTACCAGTCCTTCAGAGCCCATGTAAGTATCAGGTGTCTGGAATGGAATATAAATGGAATATAAAGCAAACAAATGGAATATAAAGCAAACTATAGCATTCCGATTTACATAATATAAAATGACTACACAAAGGAACTGTTTAAATCACTATTTTAACCATCTAACAATAAATTATTATTTATAATAATAAATAAAAAATTATTTATTATTATTTCAACTCTACCATCTTTTATTTTGTTTTTTAATTACAAGTTTAATTACAATGCTGACTACCTTTCCTTAAGTAGTTGAAATCAGAAACAGAAAGGGAGGCACATGGGCCTACACTACTCATAATGTGGAGTAGCAGATACCTTGCAGAGTCTAGCTCTGGATGTAGATCCACTAAGGCACAACACTTTACCAGACAGAAAAAAATTGTAACAAACTATACCTTCCTATAACTACACAATTCCCTATTGTTTGACGAACAAGCAAATGCAAAATAATTAAATACATCCATCTATTTAGCCATATAACATAGCTTAGTTTATGGCCTTTTTAACTGACTTAATTAACAAATTTACTACTTTTCAATTACATTATTGGCTACAAATATATTCTTAAAAGCTTCCCAATTCTGTAAGTAGACATTCTCTACACATTCCTACTGTCATCTACAAGTAGCAGAAAATGCAATGACTGCACACTTATTTTCCTCTCTCTCTCATTCTCTCTCTCTCTATGTATTAAAAACACATGGCTGGCTGAAAAAGTAAATGATTCACAGATAACGAAAGAGAAAGTCTCAGGTCCCTAGTATTAAAGATCTCAAAAATTCCAGCTGACTCAATAGAGTATGCTTCCTTGAGTATGTTTACCGTATCACCATTCCCTGCCTTATTTTCTGTGTTTTAATCCTGAACAAAACAGCTAAGAAACTACCTGATGTAATTTTTAGCATTCTTCAACTGATGTTTTGCTGCCTCCTATCTCCCCAGTATGCCCCCATCCTTCTTGTATTATCTTTAACACTCACTAATTGTAAAGCATCAGAAATTAAAACCTGGGGAATTTTTCCCCACTAATAAATTAAGATGCAGAAAAAGAAAACACACAAGACTGTATCTACGTATTCAAGATACTGATATTCTGACTTCCCCATTCCTCAGAAAATGAGTAAAACTCACTGCACAGAATGCTACACGAATTTAAAGTAACTTGTCACTTGCCCTTAATACCTGAAACAGTAACAGTCTCCATGAAACCAAGACAGCTTCCTATCGCGATGACATGTCTGAACAACAGCATCACTCTAAGTGAAATTAACTCGTTTATGTACTTTAGCCTCAACCTCCTTCTCCCTCTCTGCAATTTTGGACATTTTCCAGCAAAAGAATTATTGTTATGGATATTTCTTAACTAAGAGAAGCACCCAAACACGAGGTAAAATGTTACTATTATCTCTCTCTCTTTATATATATATACATCCTACTAAATATCTAATGAGCTAGCAATATGGAAAGTGCTCGCTTTCTGTTTATATTAAATTCCTGATACTCTGATGCAATCCTGCATGACAATATCAATGCCCAGGGCAAGTGGGTTGGAATTAAGTCATCTTTAAGGTCCCTTCCAACCCAAACCATTCTATGGCTATCAAGAACTTCAATGAATTACAAACCTAAGAATGAATTACATACATGATTCCTAAAAACTACAAGAAACAGCAATCATTACATCACATACAATTTAAAGAAATCGTGAATTTCCAGTTTATCTAGTTCTAATCCAGCACTGAAACCTCAGTATCCGAACAATTATTTGTCTGAAATATTGAAGCAAGCTTGAAAAAAAGAGAGTAGGGGAAAAGCTATACTTTTCCAGACTTTATTAGTAGCTGCTTCTGTTCACAAACAGTATTTCTGTTACACAGGCAACTCAAACATGTGGGAGAACATGTTTTGGAGAACTCAATGTGTATCAGAGTTTATGAATGCTCTTCAAACCTCCAACACCAATGAGCCTGGCAGAGACACATTTTCATGATACTGCAAGAGTTAGCTTAAATTAAATCAATCTGACTTATGTTAAATTGGGAACTATGTCAAATCATGAAAGCAAGCAACAAGAACGCATACTTCTAGACAATAAAATAATACACATTTTTAAAAATAAAACTAAACCCGCAAGTGTGAGGCCACTTTCTCAATCTTAAACTCTGTACATACCTTGTATAATCCAATGCCAGGATCAATGAGAAATGAGCGAGATGATGTAGATGGCTGACTGGGTGATCCACTGGTTGTTTTTTTGACTTTATTCTTGCAGTTGGAAACAGCACGGGGATTTACGTCTCCATCCTGATCTGGCACAGAAGCCGCGGTAGGAGCTTCAGATTCAGAACGTATCAAAAGCTGAACTATGTCATTTAGTCCAACATTGTAGTCAAACAAAGTGTGTCCATCTTCTAGCTGCCAAAAGAAAGGAATACTTGTAAAATTCTACCTTGAGTGATAAAGTTTCCAAATCTTCCTTTTACAAACATTAATTGTACAGATGAGAAGAGGCAAGCCATCTATTTCAGGCAAATGAAAACTTATGTCTTGAGTATATGCAAAACCAAACTCTCATCAGTCTACCTGCTGCCATGATTTCATCCACTGAAAAAATCACTTTATGGCTTAATATTTGAAGCAGACATCTTTATAGACTTTGGACCTTTAAATTATACATCAACATCCAAGTTAATGCAATGTTTTGCTAATGAACAGGTAGGATTTACATTGCCACTTACATGACATACTCAGTAACTAAAAACAGATAAGAGAATTTTTGAATTAACAATCACTATGTTGTGCACATTTCAGTTACATAATTTCACAATTTGCTCTCACTCTTTTCTAGAAAGCAAAGCTTTTTTTCTTCCTATGAAGGCCTCACACTTCCTTAATTTTTGCAAACTGCTTATTAAATAAAACATCTATATACAAATTAAAAAACCCAAACATCATACATTAGAATTCCATTTACTTTAAAAACTGTAAGATCTGAAAGTACTGTGCAAAGTACTAGAAGCAGCAATATCAAAAATATGTACTGGGCCTTCAAGTATATGAAAGGCAATGTAAATTGAGAGCACTCAACATTTTTACCCCAGATTTAGCCAGATTCCCCATTCCTCAGCCCCTTACCTGAAGATTAAAGCAAAATTATTCTCTGAAAGTAAATCTTTTAGCTAGTCAGTCTAAAAGCTATTATAAAACTGAGGCAACATGCACTGCAGAGCACTCTCTCAAAAAACTTCATACATCAGGTCCCACTATATTCCAAATGCAATCAGATCCTGCAGAACACAAGAATATGAATAGAAGCAGACGTTTTAATCATATAGAGCACACAGCTCCTAAACATTATTTTGGGCCCCAGTCTGCACAGCTTTAAGATACCTGTTACTATCTTTATTTTACTTAATGATCTCACTTGCCTACAATTAGGCAGAGAAACCACACCAAGTCTAACAACATGTTGCATTGCTAGGAGAGAAAAAACACAGGGAGTAATGACCACTGCTGCTTTACTCATATAGCACCACTGAAGCAGAGATTTCATTTACTTCAAAGTGTAAAGCATTGCTTGGGGATATCAAAACTAGAATTTGATTGGTTACATTTTACTTCATGTTGCAGTAGGAGAAAAACATGCATGACTAAAAAACTCCCACCCATTTCCGAACTACTTTAGCATCAAAAAATTACCTAACCTTTTTCCAGAATAGGTGCTGTTTTCAACATCATTGTTCCAGGAACTTTTTTCAGACAGATGTTTTCATAGGCTTATGGGCAGTATCAATACAACAAGAAAAAGCAGGGAGCAGGGAGGAACAGAAGAAATAAAATTGGCATTCTCCACCTTCCCACTAATACACTTCTGTGTAACATACAAATGTCCTCGAGATAGACAGAAGTAGAATGCACATTTCTTCCTCATCCCCTCTGCTTATTCAAAACAATTCTAAAGAGCAGAGGATGGTTAAGGACATAAACTGACAAGTCAAGAAATGAATCAGTTTCTCTTCAATGAAAAAAAAAAAAAATATTAATTACTCTCCATGCTGTTGGTAACAACCATACCCACAGCAGGGATGTATAAAGCAGGAATACACATAGTTTGTTTCAGTACAGTTGAAGCTGACCCAGCTGTCTGGTCTACAGCTACAGGAATGACCTTTGTTCAGCTGTTTTCAAACCAGTTCAACATACAGCAGATAAAACCATACTGAGGATTTTGATGCTATTAACAATCAAATGAACACAAATCTTACAACGGAAGTCTCCATCAACTGTTACTTTACAGGTGATTACCAACACTGCCTCATACAGATTTAGGCTAGGGCTTCATACTGAGGCTCAAGCTACTTAAGGAAGTTTAAGTTACCTTTCCCATCCCACTGTATGGTACATTCTTATGCTTTTGACAACTCTTTAACAAAGGGGACAGAAGTGTTTTTGCAGCCCTGTGACAATCCAGATTTGGGGGCTTTTCACACCACAAGCTCCTCATAGTTTTGGTGTTAAGATTATTAAAGAACTTTATAAACAGCTATTCTTAAATTCAAAGTACAAATAAACCTCAAAGTACAAATAAACCCCAAAAACTTTACAATAATACATGCAGGGAAGGGAGAACAGTTTCTGAAGCTGCTACTGCTTCTGAGCACTACTCCAGACCCACTTTGAGGATTCAATTCCCCACCAAGTGATTTCTCTCCTACAAAACATTGGTTTAAAAAAATAAGTTAAAAAAAACCCCCAGCATTACATTTGCAGAACACATCACTTCTGAAATACTGAATAAATTGGAGACAACGTAACTTCTCCATTTTTTACGTTCCAGTTGGACTGGACAGTTGTAGCAGAGGTTCCAGTGCACAGTTTCTAGAATCGTATGGTATAAGGAAATCTTCTGCAAGATAATGCAGTGGAGAGAGAGAATAGCTCTTCTGGTAGACTGAAGATGTGCAAGCAACAGACACGTAAGAGCAAAGAAATCCTGTCACTGTTCCCCTTCTCTCAGGACATGCTACATGCAGGCTGATAGAAAAATACTTTGAGGTGCTGCAGCTTAAAGTTAAATGCCAATTCAGTGACAATCTAAATCTGAACAGCCTGAATGATCTACCACCACAAGAAACCAGTGTTAACAACTAGAAAAAGTCCTGTCTAGTTCTTGCGATCTATGTCAGTTATGACTACAGCATAAGTTATGTATTTTATCCACACTGAATCCTATTCACATGAAGAGGCAATTAAAAATTAAAAAAAAAAAAACCCACACTTAAAAGTAATCATCCACAAATAGTTACATTTAACACATTCAGAAAGCAAGAAATACCTAGGCTAAGCCTTCAGTTAGAAGAGACCTTTTCTAATGAGGCACATACTATGCATAGATCCACCACTATGCACAGACTACCTACTCCTTCACAGGAATCAAAAGTCAGCTTTGATGAAAATGAACTAAATGGTCAGCAGAATAAACTGGTGACCACAAAGTTGTCTATTTTACAGTATTAGTTTATAAAGAATTAGCATTCTTTTCTATGCAAGTGGTCGTAGAGTTTTTTCCTTAGTTTTAGTAATCAGAATTCTTTACAGAAATATTTTATGACTACAGACTATTCTGTAATTAGTGATGTCACGCTTAAGTCTGAAAGCAAAGTTACAGAGGAAAGATAATAATCTTAAGCACACTTCAAATGAGGCAGGATGTAGTGTTTGGCAGTATGATAGGAAAGAACACCTGCTTACAGCATGAGCAAAAAATACATTCCCAGAATATTAGCAACCATATCAATGTAGACCAAGTCAATGATTCTATAACATTGCCTGATTCTGGAAACAAAGCAGAGAAACACAAAAACTCTACTAGTAAAATCAACTTCATACGCTGTTTGACTTACAAGAAGTAATGCATGTATCTACAAGCATACCTGGGCCCAGCATCACCACATCGACAAGTGAAACTCTTGGAATAACAAAGTCGTAAAGCAATCAGTGCTTAAAGAACTCAGCTCCACAAGAGAAGGAGAGAACTGTAGGATGTTGTTTCTTACATTACTGACACTATTCTGATGTTAATGCAACAACGGGATCTTTGCCACTGACTCTATAAACTCACATACTAGAGTAACAAAACAGTAATGCACTGCAACACTATACAGTGTACCTGTCCCTCCAGACACAGTAATATCTCCTAATCAGTTCCAAGTTGGCCAGGGACTGGAACATGATTTCTGAAATTATATTATTAAAGCCACATCACATGCGGGAAACTCAGGACCTAGCACTATGTCTGGATATTAAGGAGCAGTAGGATAAAAAGTTTAATATCCTCCTTTCTACAGACAACTAGTATTTTAAATCCATTCTGGAATACAGTCATTTCTTACCCAAAAGAACCACACCAAAAAAAAAAAAATCCAAACACCAAGGAGAAGCTATATATTCAACCCAGAGAAGTAAAACATTTCATCAAGAAGAGTCTGGCAACCCATAAGAATATGTTCTGACCAAACCCCCAGACAGCTTTATGGTATGCTTGCTCCTAACAGTAGTTACTAATATAAGTATGTAAACAATTCCATCCCATTCTGTTACATAAAGATAGTAATAAGACTCCCTGAGAATACACTTGCCTGGACAGTGTATTTAAAGGGAAGAATGAAACACTGCATGTATGCTTAATTATTCACTAAGCATTTAAGGACACTTCTCATTTACAAGTTTATACATGCAAACCAGAAACAAAATAATCATGCAAGTACCAGATAATCAAGCTGTATCTCATTCAAGTCAGTTATGATTTCTTAATGGGTGATTAGAACATGTACTAAAGCAAAAATAACTGAATAGGCAATTTCATTTGTGAAATTTTGCCAGCCTTCTCATCCTACTGTCACCAAAAAAAAAAAAAAAAAAAAAAAAAAGAAAAAAGAAAAAAAGAAAAAAGAAGAAAGTATTTGTTTCCTTGGCAGTCGATTTCACTTTCAGTTTTTTCTTCCTCTTAATGACTGGCATGCTTCAAAAGACTTCATTAACATATTCTGAATGAAGTGACACTGAAGAGCAGCTAGATTTACTGTATCTAGCACTCTTGCACTATGCTAATATCCAAAAGTAGAGAAACAGACTACATCCTTCAACTGTACTTTTACAGATCACATGATATAGACACCATCAATTTCATAATACTTCTAAAGAAGGCTGTTTAAATACTTAAAGGTTAAGACAACACAATGCTTACACTACTATATGACAGTAGCTGTAGCAATGCAATACTGGAATTTATAATTACCTACTATTACTGGTTAGAAGACCTATCTCATTACATCAAGCTACAAATGACTTTAAAAGCATGCAGTAACTGCACTTACATGAGCATGAATGATCACGCAGAGTGCAGTATGATACTA